TTTGCCACCTCACTGTTTACCCCTTTCTCCAGAACTAACTAACATTCCCCCTCTCCTCCATATATCACATATCAGATCATGTTATATATATGTGATCCTGTTCTGTGAATTCTTCTTCACCCAACTAGTGTATCTTATAATGTTCAAAGTGCTTGGGTCTCCATGGATACTTGGAGAACTGAGGATGTTGGTAATCCTGAGTATGAATCTGATTCTCCTCTGACTTACGTGATGTTAATAAGGGATAACTTTATTGAAGTCAATGTTCATCTTTCAACCAAGGTTCTCAAAGTACTTTAGAAAAGCCTGAAATCACCTGTTGGAGGTAGGTATTCCTATTTTACAGATGTATAAACTGAGGCACATTGGAATGAAATGACTTGTCCAATGTCACATGAGTCAGTGGCAGAGATGGAAGTAGAACCAGACATCCTGACGCCCATTCATTTTCACTAACCTCTAGATTGACTTCCCTATGTCTCTCTCTTCTGTATAAAAATATCCATGTCAGCATCTACTCCTACTCCTCTAGGCAGGGAGTAATGAAGCAGGGGTGATCTTGCAAGGAAGCCAAATATAAATGATGATACATTTTTATGTTCATTTTTGATTCCTTGAAAATCCTGTGGGAGAGTGTGGAGTTGTGTTGGAGAATCTAGCATTTCCCCATTCACACAGCAGATGTGCCGGAGTTGTTGTGTGTTGGTTTTGTAACAACACTGTGCACGCTTTATAGGCATTTTTGTGGCCTTTAGAAAAGCCATAATATCTGAACCCCTCCTAAATGCTATTGAAATTATTCTTACACCCTGTGAAGTGGGGAAGTAGTATCCCTATTTTAAGAGGGGAAACTGAGGCAGAGAGATTCAATTACTTGCCCAAGATCGCACAGGAAATCTGTGGCAGAGATGCAAAGAGAACCTACATCTCCAGACTCACAATTATTCGCTTAACCACAAGACCATTCTTCCTCCATTCTCTTCCATTGTAGCCCTTCCATCTAAGGCACTCTAAGCACTTTACATTCATTCATAAATTCCACACAACATCCCTGTGAACATGGTGGGTATTATAAATATGTTCCCCTTTTTATTAATTATTATTTATATCCCCCAAAGAGAATGAAGACTGTGCACTTTCTTCACTTACCAGCAGGTGCCCCTGCAGTCAGTGGGAATGAATAGACAGACCCCGGGAATGTCATGGTTGTTATTATTACTTTTTACATTTGTAAGGGTGCGGGGGGCCGGCAGGAACTATTGAACCCCAAACACACCACGCAGAAATACTGTCTGTACCAAATGGCATTTCTTTTCTTTGCCCTGAACACACATTGAATGCTTGTACAGTTCACATGCTTTCCAGGGTGTTTCTCTGATAGAAGGATAGAAATTATTTTGTTTTGTTGTTGTTTTGGGGTTTGAAAGCAACCTGGTCCTTCATCAGACGATGGTAAACCCTGGAGCCCTAATATGATACTGCAGCTTTAATTACTTAGCCATGTGCGGTCATCATTTTCATGGAAACGGACAGTGTATGGGGTTATAGCCTCTTAAAGTTCTTTGACCAAAGCAGTGAGTGCAGGCACAAATGAGGTTACTTGAATGTGCTCGAGGTTTTATCTGGAAGAAAGGCATCTTGGGCCTTCCCCTTTCCTCCACTAGCTATATTTGGCTCTTCCTACTTAAGATTCTTTCAATACCCTCCTTTTCCCCCTCTTGATCAAAACAAGGACCATGCCCGAGATATTTTCTAGGAGGAGTGAAAGTGTATTTTTAAAGTTTGATTGCACAGTTGTGTTTTCCAGGGCATGAGTTCTACCTTCACGTTCCCCTTAGAGTGTTGAAGGATCAATCAAAATGAAATTAAACAGACAGAGCTACAGCATACTTGCTTTTCCTAATGTAGAGAACAGAAGTCCACCTTTGATCTATGGAGAAAAAAAAGTGCTATCTCGGCACTGATGTCACCAGAGAACTATATTTAGGATCTTAATAAGCCAAAACCAAAAACCCACATGGTTTACAAATAGTTAAAGTTGTCTCAGTGCCAAATGAACCCCCACAAATCCTGTCGTATGAAACTAATCATTAAAAAGAATATTAGTTACTCTTTGCTGAGGACTTTGAAGATGTAGAGTGCCATATATGGGCCTACTCCAAAGCCTGTTGAAATCAACGGGAATCTTTTCAGAGACTTCAGTGGGCTTTGGATCAGGCCCTGTAAGAGCTCTGTGTTGTTAATACCATTATTGTATTTCATGATGCTGATGTAATCAGAACTTTCTTCTAGGTCCCGGTCCATACAAGAGGAGCTTTGCTCCCATATGGAGTCTCGCTGACAACAATAGGAGGTCAAGGAGGAATAAGGGTTGACCCTTAGGGTGGCTCAGGATGAGTCCTAATGTGGGGGGGTTGGGGGGGGGGGGAGGGCAGATTACCGGACAACTGCCTACTGAAGTGTTTGGTACTGGCCACTATTAGAGATAGGCTAATGAGTAGATAGGTCTCAGGTCTAATCCAGTCTGTTGTTCCCATGGCCTGTGCAGATCCCTTTGCAGAACTAGGGACTTCATTTAGTTGCTGTTGGCACTGGGTTTTAAAAACGCCAATGGCTAGGCATTGTTATTATGTTCTCGTCCATGATGCGTATGTTCTCAGAGGGTTATGACAGGTGAAACCCCTATTTTATGAACTCTGATTTGAGAAAACGCTATTTCATTCCCAAATGCCTTTTTGTCCCCTTCATCTGAGATTAGGTTACTGTACCTTCTCTTGAGCTTACCAGAGCTTTTGGTGTCACCCAAGTCTTATGCAAAATCGAGGTTCTAATGTATTTCAGAGCCATGCGGAAACAAGAGGGCTAAATTTAATGAGGATCGCTGTGGGATTAGACTTTTCAAGCAGAAGCAAAATTCAGCATTATTATTATTCCTGCCACCAATGAGACAGAGGAATAGCTTAGTGTGATACACTGGGGTATAACTAGGCCTAATGGGATGAAACTAAGAAAAGAACATTTAGACTCAGTATCAGGAAATTTCTGGCAGTGAGCTGTATTAGGCTGTGAAATAGTCCTTAGGGAAGCAGTGGAAACCCTGTTGCTTGGGTGTTTTAAAACTAAACTGGGCAAAATACTAGAAAAGGTGCTATAGACTAGAGAACAATCCTGTCCTAGTGGGGAGGTAGCCTGCAGGATCTAATAGGTGTGTTCTGCCTGTAACTTCTGTGATTCTCTGATAATGTATATCTAGCATCATATGGTGCTTTAAAGAAACAAGGCAGGATTCTGATTTGCGCACAGTCAAGGATAACTCCACTCATTTAGATTTAAACCAGTGTACATGTCTGACACCAGACTCTGGCTCCCAGTTTAACAGTGTTTTGCTCAACAGGCCTGCAGTATGTAAATGAACTAATGCCACCAGTGTTACAGTTGGCTGAGGTCACAATCCCATGCCTTGGTTCACCTGTCCTTCATCATTGCCCTGACAGGAGGACTTCTGGGAATGTGATGGAGGACACATCAGCTTGAGCGACTCGCTCCTGGTACCACTGACTCACAACTGCTTTTCACCCTGCTACTTCAGATGGCAAACCAGATCCAATCGTTCTTGGAGACGAGCATAATGGCACTGTGTAAAGAAGAGACTATTCCGATGACCCTGGACATGCTGACGAGTAAAAAAGTGGAGACAAATAATCCTCAAGCCAGATGCCTCCTCTCGACACTGGCATCAGCCATGTGCAGCCAACATGCATCAGACGTGGAAAAACTGCGGCAAGAACTGAAAAACGTACAGAGGGACATGAAGGATTTCAAGCAAGAGGTGACAAAGATGATCTGTAAAATAGAGGGCACCCTCAGCTACATGATGGACGTGGTAACAAAACTTGAAACCAGAAGCAACCACGTGGAGCAGCGGCTGAGGGAAGAAGAAGACAGAGGCATAGTACGGAACAAAGTACTCACATTCTTGCTGCCGAGGGAGAAAGAACTGCGGGAGAAATGTGCTGATCTAGAGAGGAGGCTTTGGAGAAAAAATGTCTAGGTATATAAATCCTGAACGACAAAGGGCAAAAATAATAGTGTCGTACCTGAGAACTGCTCTGGACTCACAAGCAAGACTGATCTTTGAATACTAAGTGTAAGAGCTGAGCAGTTATGCCAAAACCCTCGCTATTTGGAAACCAAGCTATAAAAAGAGGGTCTTTATACCATTCATGATTTTATATACCACTTCTTCGTTTGCTGTCTAAACTAAATTGTCCTGATCTTTTCACTCTCTCCTCAGACAGAAGACTGTCCTTTACTTTATTTTGTTGCCCTTCTCTGCGCCCTTTCCCATTTCTGCCACTGCTGCTAATGAGAGTTGGGGGCATTTGGAACCTGAAAGGATCAGGCCTTATACATTTAGTGTTCTGCTGACATCACAAAACAGGAGTGATCTGTGTCCTCAGATCCACCCCTTTGGAGGTGATGTGTGTGTAGAGTCACGTGGGGCCTAATTTAAAGCCTACTGACCTCAACAGACATACTCCCAGTGACTACATTGGGCTCTGGAGCGAGCCTTTTACTCCCAGTTACCCGTGCCTCATCTCTGTAATGCAGCAACTGACGCTGCATTATTGAGTTCAGTGACACATGCATGTAGAGGAGGAGAGAATTTAACCCTATAGAACAAGGGGGGCTTTGGTGCTAGTACAGGAAGTAACCTCTTTTCCCCAGCTCTGATTTCCCTTCCATCCTCCTATACGTTATTCCTTCTTGTTGTCTCAGACGACATTGTCTGGCCCCAGTCTCTTCCTCTGAGTTTCCCATAATAGCATATAAAACATACAAAAATAACTCCAGTGTTGCTCATTTTCCCCCTCAATTCCAGAATAAATAGAAAAAGAAAATTTAAAAAGGCAGCAGCAGCAATGGAACAGATCACAGATGGTGATTTTTTTTTGGTAACACTATTTCTCTCTAAAGTTTTTTTTCCCTTTGACTCTGCGCAGGCTCCATTCCTTTCCATGCTCTCCCCCCCGGTCAGTGTGAATGGTGCTGATGATGATCTTATGGATATTGATTCCATCTCACAAAAATGTGTTGCAGCAAAGGGAATTCACCCTGGTGACCTTCAGCTCGCTCTCTGCTAGGAATCAGTGACGCACAAACAAATGGCAAAAGCCATATGGACTGTGGGGGAAAGGGAAAATATTTGCTGGTCTCATTTTATGGGATATTGGACAAATCTAGTTAGATCCAAGTATCCTATAAAATAAAAAACCTTATTTCCAGAATTTATCATCACGTCTCCAGTACCCTTTTATGTAAAGAAAGGGTCTGAGTTCACATTTTCTTATTATTAATGGAGGGGAAAGGGAATCTTGTAGTTGAAGAATAGATTTGGGAGTCTGAGGATCTGGATTCTGGTTCTGGTACTGCATGACCTTGGATAAGTTACTTAACTTCTCTGTGCCTCAGTTTCCCCATATGTAAAACACACCCCTTCATAGGGGTGTTGTGAGACTCAGTTAAGCCTCACAATCCCTAAATGGAAGGCTCTATAGACAGGAAATTTTATGGTACTGTACAATAAAATATCTGGTATGCATATAGCTATATGTGTGTTAGCTACAACATCCAGGTCTGAATCCAAACTCTTCCAAAGTTTGAGGGGGATTTAATCAAGAGTTCTGACTTAGGCCCATTTTTCCTGTAGTTTTAATAGTTACAGGTGAATCAGACTTTAAGCTGTCTGAACTGTCTGCCTCAAACTTTGTGGGTTTAGATATAATGGAAACCCTTCCTTTCCAGATCACAACCGACTCTGGGAATTGATTAACAAACCCCAAATGACCATGTTTTTGCCCTATCTCTTCATCAGATCCTTTTCCTTACTCATATAAAACAACCTATATTAATTATGTCTCCTTTCATCGTGGAGAATTTCAAACAACGTTGCAAACTGTGTCTCCAATCCTATAAGTGAATTCATGTGGACAGATCCCTGTACCTGTACAGAGTCCCACTGAAGTTAGTGGGGACCTCTGCACACATCCCAGGGCAAGATCAGGGCATAAATACATACAGTAACAGTAAAATGCAGCCACATCTGGGGTGCAGTGTGGTAGTCAGTGCACTGCACAACAGTGTGTGGAGGGGAAATTTTAGCCAAAGCCACCAGCTGAAACCCTTCCTGTAACAGAAATTGCCATAGGATCATTAATCTCTCTGCAAAGGCTTTGGTTTTTAGGTCTTAGGAAAAAGTCCCTCACATCTCACATTGTAAAATGCATGGACCTGAGGTTATGTACCTCAGAAGGATGAAGGGCTGAGTCAGAGTGCGTGGATTCAAGCTGATGTTTCTGGGAAGTCTAGATGTTTCCAACCTGCACATACACATTTTCTATTTAGATTTGTGTTGTACCAATGTGGGCTAACTCACAGGATAACAGCAGGAAAATATTGTCCTGAATTGGGGAAAAAATTTTGGTGCTATCTTGTAAAGTCCCTGAAACCAAAGACTGACAATGAGATGCACAATGGAGGGAGCTGTTTGCTGGCCTCAGCCTTAACCCTGCAATATGGGGCATGCAGGCAGACCCCTATGCTGAAGTCAGTGGGGTCTGTGAGAGTATACGTCTCCACCCTCATCCATTACACTGCAGGATCAGGCCCAATGTTTGTCACTGCTTTTGCTCTCTGGCCTGGTAGGTTTCTGCTTTATTTTTTCCCTCTGGATTTGGTAAGGAACGAAGTGTATAATGAGGCAGTATAATAAGTACATATTAATTTTCTCCATTTGCCTGTAGTGACCCCCATCTGTTCCAGCCCCTGTACAGTGTTTTCATCATCATCATTATTACTTTAGAAAAAACAATTAAATTTCACAAGATGGAAAAACAATGGGCATTTTTCTAATTCACCTTCAGCCTTCTCATGTCTGTTGCTCCAAATGCACCAGGAATCAGTATTCTGATCAGGAGGGGTTTCAGGGGGAGTTAAGATGTCTTCAAATTGACTGTGGGGGCTGCCATGTAAAATTCGGGGCGGGGTGTGTGTGACCAAAAATAAACTGGACAGTGCAGCTAAACAGGGATTCCTTTAACTGGGGCTGCTCTAATGGCTGGGGCAATGCACTACACATGTGCACATCAAGGCAGGTAGCTGCAGCTGTGTGTGTAGCTGGCTTGAAGCAGGCAGGGAACCAGCTTCTAGCTAATTCTCTGCCCCTAACTCAAGTGGGAGGGTGTAAGGCAGCCGTATGGCCTACTTTGGGGATCACTGAACTCAGCACTGCAGAGAGGAGCTGGCCTGGAGGCCCTGGCTTCCCTAGAGTTTGGAGAATCATGCTGGGTAAGTAAGGGACTGCATGAGGGGAAGGAAGAAATGAAATGTGGGCAGGGTTTGGGGTCTAAGAAAATGGCACCTGGGGAGGGAGGGGTGAGTCAATGGAACCCAAGGGGAGGAGGAGTTGTTATTTGGGCAGAGCCCAGAGTGTGTGGAGATTTGCTGGGGCTGTGCAGAGTGTGAATATTGGGTGGCAGAGTAGGGACTAGGAGCAGGACTCTGAGCTGGTGTATTGACTGGCCTGGAAGCCCTCTTTCTCCCACCCCTGCCCTATGTGGATTGAGAAGGGAAATATATAAGGGGCTGCTTTAGACCCATCCCCCTTCCTTATCACCATAAGGCAGTAGAGAGGAAAGGAAGGGAGAGATGCTGGAGGGATGGAAATGGGAGAGGTGGAGAGAGAATGAGCTGGGGAGGCAGGATGCAGGGAGGAAGGGAGCTGGGAAGGGGAAGAGAGTTGTTATTTACCTCAGTGTTTGGAATATAGGCTGTAATCCAGTGGGGTTTCCCTCCACTCTCACTGTTGCAGTGAGAGCAGTCAGTGGGGTTCTCTTGTGATTGCTTAAGAGAACGGTTTAAAAAACTTTTCAAGTGACCGTGTATTTCAAATAACATCCCCTCATGTATTCTTAATAGTGAAAGGGTTTGACTTGAGATGGGAGGTATGGCGCTTCCTGCATAGCAGAAACTATCCCCAGCTCTCAAGTACTTGTGAAGAACCATGGCTGTTGTCTTTGAAAGGCATCAGATTGTACCAGACAGGCTGGATTTTCAAAGAAGGCTACCAGGGCAGGATGCCCTCTTATTTGATTTCCATGAAAGTTTGTTTTTTCTGTGGTTCTCCATCTCTCCCCAGAATAATTCAAAGACTATTTTCACCATCTGATGGATTAAGATGTAGCATTTGCATTTGGATCCAGGCTAAATTCAGGCTGAGGCTTGGAATTAGGATTTGAGGGTGAGCAGGGCAAGGGTTTGCTGGTGCCAAAATCTCAGCCCTAAAAGTGCATCTGAACCCTCTCTGGAAAATAGCCTATCCGTGCTTGAAAATAAACCTGTAGAGATGGATTTGGAAGCAGGGGCTTGAATTTGATACTTGCTACAGTTCTCTCTCACCCCCATCTCTCCAAATAGGGGAGGAGGGGTTATTTCTGATTGTAACATTGGTGGTGCAGGGTCTAGATATTGGGTCCCACAAGAGAAACAAGGCACTCTGAGGCCTCTACAGATTATGAGGTTCAGATGCTCCCTTATTCACATGTGAAGCCCTCTGGAACTCTGATGTCAACTGACACAGGTACTCAGCCTGTCTGAATGATGTTTGAATTGTGGCCCAGAGGCTATGCACTCTATTGCCTGAGAGATCCTGAGACAGTGACCACTTAGCTCTTCCTTTGTATAATGACCAGTCCACCCACCAAAATCACAGAACCCTTCCTTACCTCCACTTTACCTGGACGGGAAAGAAGTTAGGCCGATGCAGACTTATTTGTCACCAGCATGATCATTTTCACTTCTGATTGTATGTAGACGAGCTTCCAGGCTTACTTATTCCTATTTGAATTTAACACATCTATGCTAAACGTACCATATTAGACCTCTCCAGGGTGGATCAATATTTAATGCAGAATTTACAAAGATTGACTTGAGGACGCGTTTAAAATTGGAGTATTAGCCGCAGGTGGCAATTTCTGAGATGCAGCAGCAGAGTTTGATTATTTAGTGAGGTGGCATTTTGCAAATTTAAAATAATATTTAGGAATGTGGGGCTGGCTGCAGTGATCTCGCTTCTTAAACTGTTAACTCTTCGATTGTTTTGTTTATATTCTGTATTAAACAATGACGCACAATTAATTATTTATCTGCCATGTATGATTGGTCCAGATCCTCTCCTGGCCATTGCATTGCTCACCTTAGGTTAAGAGGTGGTTTGGGCAGCTCTGAAATGAAAAACAACTCCATGTACCTAGCTTTTCTGTAGCGCTTTTTATCTGATCTCAAAGCACTTTGCAGACAGGTAATAAGTATCATTAGCACCATTTTACAAAGGGGAAAAGAGGCACAGAAGGGTGAAGTGATTTGCCTAACGTCACCTAGCAGGTCAGTGGCAGAAGAGGACTAGAATAAAGATATCTCAAATCCCAGTCCTAGCTCCCATTCCTGTGCGTAAGCTCTGTGTCTAACTATGGCAGCCGGCCAATGCTACATGCATATGGTTTCCCATTGTCCCCTCCTGGGAATTTGGTAGAGTCTAATCCAAAAGATTTGTTTAAATGTCAAAGGCTTGGCTTTATAAATGCTACAGATGATAAGCTTGTATCATATACAATATGATCTTCACTGAATTGCACTGACTGGAGAGAGAATTTTCTGGAGTCCAATGAACTCCATCCCCAAATCTACTCTAGCGGTGAAACACAAGTTAAAAGCGTTAAATCATTTGAACAAATTTTCATTAGCTGATCAAAAACTCTGTGGATGGGGTGTTGTTTTTTGCCCACTCTTGAGGTTTTCCTTTTGAAAACCGTAACTCTTTTTCCAGTAAGTAATATCTGTATGGCGCTTTGAATATATACCTCGTTAAAAGCGACAGAGTCCTGTGTCACCTTATAGACTAACAGAAGTATTGGAGCATAAGCTTTCGTGGGTGAAAGTTAAGTATTCCTGCTAATAGTAGTAAAAGCAGGAGTTGCCCCATAGAAAATGGGTTTGTGATGTTCCAGAAACAGACTTGAGATTTTGCTCTGTGGAGAATCTATATGCAAGAGAAAACTAATATGTATGTATGTGCATAGTACGGATATTACTGAGGTATATGCATATGGGGCGCTATCTATATCTTAATACTTTATATATATCAGGCTAATATATTTGCAGCCAGCACATATTTTTATTGTTACTTGGCATTCTCTGTGTCACTTTGTTATTAGAATCTTTGAGAATTGGACCTGTCTTCTCTTCCCCTCACCCCCATAAGTTCTTGCTGTGATCTATTAATCTTTACTAAAGCAATGAGACTTGGATAGGATATTATGCATACACACAATGCGCGCACACATGCTAATCAAATTGCTGTTTTATCTTGGCTTGGTAGGGCTGTGTGAGCTACATTAATAAGAGCTGACAGATTTGAAATGGCTGATCCTAAATTGATTCAGATTGTGAATGCAGCAATCACTAGAGCGACGAGGCCATGGGATTGAATACAGTGACTTTCCAGTTTATGGTCTGGAGCCTTTTTATCTAAAGATGTAAAGGACAGCTCCAACTAAATCCAAAGAGTGACTTTTCTGTCCAGAGTACTGCAGGCAGTGAGTTCTCCCCATGTCACACCCCTGCATACTTCTAAATCTGAATTGATTTTACTTATACAGCAGAAAAAGAAACTCCACAGCATAGGATTGTTAGAAACCACAAGTGGTGGTACCTTCTACTTGTGTACATATGGTATCTACAGTTCTCATGAGTATGTGAGATCAAGACATGAATCGGTGGCCTGAGAATTCTCATGCTGGGAGATAGGACGGCTTGTGGATCTGCCCAGTTCTCTGGGTGACCTGGGAAAATCACTGAGCCTATTTCTGTTTTCCCATCTGTAAAATGAACGTGGCAATAACATCCTCCTCCCAGGGGATGGCAGGAAACGGGGTGCGGTTGTGAGCATTACTGTTTGTACAGTTATTTGAAGATGGGCCGTGAAATTGGCTCATCTTCAAATAACTGTACAAAGTTAGGTAAAATGATTGACCTTCATGTCAAGTTATGATTCCACCCAGTAGGGGGCGACAGTGAATATACCCTCTCTCTGGTATGTGTGCTTGCTTTCTCTTGACCCCACCACCATTACAGCCAATTTTTGCCTGCTCTTGGTGTGAGTCTAGTGATATTTGGTGCTTTTTCAAGCCCATGGAGTCACGTGACACACATTAGATTTCATTTAAAAAAAAAAAGTAAGTTTCTAGCTCTCATGATTACAGAGAAAAGTATGAAAATGTGACAGTGCACTCTTAAGCTCAAAAAGCAGAAGGCAAATAAAAAAACTCAGGCTTATTATTTTTAAGTTAATTTCATGACTTTGGGAGCCTGACTCATGATTTTTATTTTTATTTTTCAATGCTTGGGGCTGGCAACACTGTACACAACATTAAATCCACTCACTTATTGTAAATAGAATGCCTCCTAGTCTATTATCAGCACCCCTGCAGGTCTGCAAATACATTTAAATAAATGATCCATTAAATACATTTCTTATGGGGGAAAGATCCTGGTAAATACTTGTACTATGGGGGGAAAATGATCTTTTTTCTTATCTAATTGTTCTACTAAGATGTTGCTCATTTTTTGTATAGCTATAAAAATTAAAGGCAGTTTGTTTCATATATGGGGATAGAGCACAACATATGGTAGTGACAGAGGTGTTCATAAATATGAATGTTTTCGTATTTTAAAAAAGGATGAAACATGTTGCTAACAAACAAATTGTCTGTTATTCAGAACGCCAATTATTCCCACTGGAAAACAGAGCATGCACATCCCCCAACAGGTGTACTGTCACTGAGACCCCGCTTCATGAATATGGAATGACAATTAGATGTTTTATTTAAAGCTTTGATCGCCTAAGGAAAAAAGTCCATTTATTTTCCTAAATAGTCTGGTTTCTCCCAACATTGCAGGTGACTTGTTACTACTCTCTGTGAGTTGTAAGAAACTGAAATAGCCAAGGGCTACCTTGGTAAAACACAACTCGGTCTAAATCGAGACAGGAAAGGATGCTCTTGGGGTTAGGCTGGGAGTCAGGCCATCTTGGTTCAGTTTCTGGCTGTGCCATGGAGTGAATCAGTTGATCTATATGTGCTCTGTTTTGGGGATACTAATACTTTTGTTCTCTGACCCTGGTCTAGCTTTCCTATTTATATAGGAAGCTCTTTGGGACATGGACTATGTTTGTACAGTACCTAGCACAATGGGGCACTGATCGGTGGGTCTTTTAGATGTAATATAAATAATAAAGAGCAAATTAGTATAATTGGTTTCTCCTGCATACACCTTGATTTCTAGAGCACTTTAATCTTTGACCTATCTATGCCTCTACATGTGACTGTAGTGTAAATGTTACATAATAAAACACCCATGTAATTCAAGAAACGAGGTTAGACCATAGTTATGCCATGTAACCAACAGAGAGAGTGGAGCATGGGAAAGTGTGTTTAAATAAAGAAACTGATAAAAACTTAGACCTTACTTTATTCACTGGAGCAAGGAAGTTACAAATTTTGCTTGTTAATAATAATAATAATAATAATACTTATATTTTCTATCTAGAGCAGCCTCCAGGCTTTCCAAGCACTTTGCAGACACTAATGACTCAAGCCGAAAACACCCCAGAGGTATTATCTCCATTTCACTGGTAGGGAAGCTGAGGCATGAAGAGATAAAGCCCCTTGTGCAAGGGCATGTGATTTACCGGCGGAGCTGGGAATAGAATCCAGGAGTCCTGATCCCGGTCCCTGGCTCAGGCTAGTAGAAGTCAACACTTCCTCTTAAGGAATGACTTGGATGGATACTGAAGGGATGGAGGGTCTGTTCTGTCACTAAAAAGCTGGTAGCTACAATGCAGAGCAGTTAAAGGCTGGGAGCAGGGGAATTCTCCCCTCCTCGCCCTCCCGGGATGATACAGAGGACAGCAGAGGGAGGAAACAATGCTCGTCAATTTGGGGCCATATAGTAAGGGGTGACTGTGATCAGCTGTAACTTACAGGCTGACTCTGGGTTCCCCTGAAACCAGCAGCTAATGGAATCCGTACTTGTGGGACCATGGCTGTGATTTGGTATGGCAGATCCTTTGTATCTTTGGGTACGTGTACACTGCCGCTGGTAGTGTGCCTCCCTGCCTGGCTAGACAGAAATGCACTCGTTCTACTCTAGCTAGCGCTCTAAAAATAGAAGTTGACCCAGGTGGTTGGACAAGCTTGCACTCAGGCAGCTAGCCTGTGCCACCGCCCGGGTGGCAATGTCCATGCTGCTATTTTTCAAGTGCTAGCTGGAGAAGAGCAGGTGTCTGCCTACCCAGGGTAGGAACGTTCCCTGCTGTAATGTAGATATACCTTTTGGTTCATAAAACATAACAAATGTGAAAAAATATACCTCAAAATTGAAGTATAAATGTGACAAGTGTTCTGATTAAGGTTGGTCTTCAGCTCCAAACATCTATCCTATTATATTACTGCGTAAATCAGCCACTTAAAATTTCCGCTTTCCTATACTACATGTCTTGTATGAACCTGGAAAATGTTGGGCACGAGGCATGGGTGATCTCTTTTAAGTAAGATGAGTTATACGCTGATAAAGATCATTTCAATAGCAGGGCTTGGATAGTTATATGAATGCACGCATGGAGCTGCACTCAATACTAGCAGGGGAAGTGAACACGACAGATCATTTTACATGCTGCTCATACATCATATGGGGATAGATAATATGAATCTGGATAAACAAGCCATTTTAAAGGCCTTTTGTAGTAGTAATTTGCATTTCTGTAGCACTTTTCATCTGCGATACTAGAGGTGATTTACAGCATTGGATAATTAAAACTCCCAGGACTCTGTGAAATAGTGTGTGTTTTTATACCCATCTAACACATGGGCAAATTGAGGCAAATATATAGAATCTTTTTTTTTTTAACCCATGCTCACAAAGCCAGTTGATACCTAGATAAATTAGGTTACCCCTAGATTGGGGCCAAAGTTTGCAAAAATAGGAACTTGGAGTTGAGTTCCGAAGTCTGTATTTCGGCACATATATAAGTGGCTTCCCCTCTCACCCCGAAGTGCCAAGTACTCAGCATCTCCCATAACTTGTTTACTTCAAAATGATTCCAGTGACCTGGATTGGGTCTGATCCATGGCTCCATCTGGTTTTAAAACTGGTTGGAATTTTTGTAGCAACTTTCCTAGTGTCGAGCAGGGCCTGTGTCAGAATTATGCATGAACCAGGAGTTGGAAATGGGGATGAGTGGAGGGGCCTGTTGAGGCAGAACATGGGATGGGCTGAGTTCCTTCCAGGCTTCCACTCTGGTTTTGTGATGGGACTTGCATATGCTTCAAACTCCGAACACATGCCTAACTTTGGGGGTTGTGTCTGTTAGGGACAGGTTGAAATAAGACCCTTTCCATGCACTATCCCAACCCCCAACCTTCCCCACCCCTAATCCAAGCATGAACCACGAGACCTTCAGAGTCTTAATGAAGCTCCACAAAAGTCATTATTTTAAATTTTCCTCCGAGCTTGCAGGACCAGAAGCGAAAGTGCCCAGGTAGCACTCCTTCCTGTTCATGGCAGCACTGTTAGATCAGCCAGGTCAGCCCAACCATCAGGTTTTGAGAGTTCCCAATCCATTCGGTGCATGGTATCTGTAGATCTGGGCTTCGGCTGCATATTGCACTTCTCCTTAGGTCCTAGAGCCTTGGATCAGGACCGTGTTAAAAGGGCACCTTGAGTCAACAGCGTGTCATTGACTGGCAAGCAGTGTAATGCGTGGCTGATTGCTGCCACCACAGGAATCGGGGAGGGGGAGATGCAGTCTGGATCTATGCTGCCACTTTCAACCTCTTGGGTCAAATTATAATGTGGCCTAAGAGAAGGGTGAGTTGGTGCAGCTGCTGCAAGTCCGATGATTCCAGCCTGCACCATGCATGCCATCTGCAGTGGATGTTTTTTGGGAGTGACCCGAGTTTAAGATGGATCTGGATATTTTTATTTGCTATAACCAACCAGCAGGCCTGATCCTGTGAGTTGCTGATCATCCCACGAGTTCCCTTCGACTGTGTGTCCTAGGCATTGAGCACTCTGGGAGATCTGGGCCTTTATTTGTACCTTGCATTCCGTCTGCTAGAACAGATTATGCTTTATGTATTTGAGCAGTAAGTATGACTGATTCATTCTCTCTACTCCCCAGCCTACTTTCCCTTGGGACACTTTTGGAAACAAGATGTGGCATCTCAATGAGTCTATTGTACAGCTTAAATGTTAAACAAAGAAATATATTCCATGTGCTTTGTATATAAACAGAACTCGGATTACATTTCAATCACCCTATAAGATGAAGTGCCTCTCCTGTCATGTCTCTCTTTAAAATAAGATTTCCCGCGATTCCCCTCGTACGATACAGCAATAACCACTTTGCGTGGCAATAAAACAGCGCAGCGATGAAAGGAGGGAATATGCAATTCATATGCAGGGCTCCTCTTGCTTCGCCGCCACCACCCTCAACTTCCCTAGTTTGCGCTTCCCATTAATACTTTCCCTCTGTAGATCTGAAAACCCTGTATAAACGGAGATAATTTTTGACAGATGAGCAAACTGAAGCCCAGAGGCATAAAGCTTGCTCCAGCTCCCATTGAAGTCAGTGGAAAGATTGCGGTTGACTTCAATGAGAGTTGGTTCACGCCACATATGACTTGGCCCAAGTGAGTCAGCAGCAGGGCTGGGAATAGAATTCCACTCTCTAGGCTCCCGGTCTTGGGCTCTGTCCACTAGACTGCAATATCTTGTAGGCGTGAGTCAGGCTGATGCCATTTGGGGAGGTTTAATCAGTAAAACTACTGAAGGTTGTATCTTTTGACCTTAGAAAACTGGCCTGGCAAGCAGACTGGGTGAAGGCATGCAGAGCTCTTTTTCACATTTGGGTCTCTGTAGTTTGAATGCAGACCAGGTTGGTAGTAGCTGAAAGTTGTTACCTATTGCCCAGCTGCTCAGTGGCCTCATTCCATTGATTGTAGAGCAGGGTCCATATCACAGCTGGCCGTCCCAGCAGTGAGACCGGGGACTAAATTGCTTTCCTCACAGAGGCGGGTGCTGCGAGTCAGGACTGAGGCACAACATGAGCTTGCACTGCCGCTATCTGTGCTGTCCCTGGTTTTGGGACTACAGTATTTAAGTTCTCAGGGCTGCTCGTTAGAGAGAGATTTATGCTTGTATCTGTAATTTTCACTCCATGCATCTGAAGAAGTGGGGTTTTTTTTACCCACGAAAGCTTTTGCCCAAATAAATCTGTTCGATTTAAGGTGCCACCGGCCTCCTCATTGTTTTTGTGGGTACAGACTAACACAGCTACCCCTCTGATACGTTGGAGAAAGGTGATCTTGTGGCCACCCCTCTGGATTGGGAATTGGGACATGGTTCAAATCCCACCTAGGGCTAGTACCTTAATCTCTCCGTTCCCCATCTGTAAAATGGAGATAACGGTGCATCATTTCTCCTGCCCTGTGACTTGTCTGTTTAGATTGCAAGCTGATTGAGACTGGGGTTTTCTATGTTACTACGTTTGTTTAGCACCTACCCTGGTGGGGCCCTGGTCTTGGTTGGGACCTCTGCCAGCCCTGTTAATAATATTTTATAGTACAGTAGCACCTAGTCTGATTCTTTGTGCCAGCACAGAGCGAACAAGAGAAGTGTCATTCCGCCATAACAGACATTTCTCAAACTAAGTTGTGGCTCACTGGGTATTCCAGCAGATGCTTTATTAGTTTAATACTCCTGAGAGTTGCATGAGGCTCCTATCAGCGATAGAAACATCAGGGTCCTCGTGGAAAAAAATCTGAGCACTTCATTGTCGAGTGGCTGATTTGGTAATATCCGTCATCAATGAAAATGGTCGTCACCCTCAGCTGGCACGTCTGACTATTGGAGATTCGTTACTTTCACTCGGATAAATGCGCTTGCAGCTGTATTTCTTGTGGAGCCGCATTGATCTACTGTGGCCAGTTAGCTTTAATCCGAGGTATTGCATTCCCTATGGAGATTCCCCAAGGCTATATCCGCTACCCGCTTCTGACAGCTGAATGTGACAGTTAGAATTACCTCAGCAGCACAATCAAATGGCGATTCTCCCAGCACCCAGCCGCTAACCTATGCGTGCATACCCTGTTTGTTTCATTTCTAATTAAGCAGTAATATTTCCTGTCTGGATTGCTAAATGTGCCGCTCCTGAGACTGGCTGCAAGGAAATGTTATAAACGGAAACAAGCAATAGAAGTTCCCTTTCTTATTGATTCCCATGATAAACAGTTCTATACAGGAATCAGACCTGTCCTCAGGCTGTGCTCAGCGCAATGCAAGAGAACATAAAGAGACCAATTCATAAAAAAAAATACCATTTGCCCAGCGTTTCCACTGACCTTACTAGGAAAGGGGAGGGAGA